CAAATCAAGGAATCTTGAATATTCAAATCTGTGCAAGGTCTTTACTTTAAAAAAAAAAAAAAAAAAGGATTCCAACAGTTTTTATTAAAGTCCTTTCCATTAGACAATATTTCTATTTTGTTTTTCCAACGAGTGCCTAATGTGAGGCAGCCCAAGCTCCAGGAAAGCCTGTGTGCAGAGCAGCCCGACTGTACTGGTCTGTATCCTGGGCAGGGCTTTTCCTGCTAGTCATCCTATCTCCTCGTAAACATCACGGCTCTTTTCTAGAAGTCCCAGGAGACAGACTGTCTACACTAGTAGACAGACCTGCCACATTTCAGGAGCTACCTTCCCTGCACAACTTCCCAAACCTGTGCTGTGAATCAGCTCCTAAGTAGTACAGGCAGCAGATTAGGGCATAAACTCAGACCTCAGCCACCTCACCTTCCAGTCTGGCATCTTCCCTAAGATCTCAGAAGCAGGAGAGGGAGTGGGTTGCTAAAAGGCAAAGTCAAGCATGGCCTGAATCAACTAAGCTTTTCCACCTACTTCAGTGAGCTTTCTAATCAGTCTTGGTGGGAAAAACAGATTAAGGTTTACACTACTACCTGTTGGCTGACCTCTGCTAGTAAAAAACACCACAGCTTAGAATTTTTTACTTTGTATATGGAAAAACTTATTTATATGGGAAAATGCTTATCTATAGCAATGAGCTTTGAAGGGTCCACAAGTCACAGGTGTTAAGCATGCCAAGCATTTCTGAAGTACTTTATAAACAGGGGAAGAAAGAAAAAAAAAAAAAAAAGACAAGGAGGAAATAGAAGGATTAAACCAGGATAGAGACATTCATTCATGCCTCCCTGATGCAACCTACATGATGGAAGTGCCAGTTTATTGAAAACTCTTAGGAGGTCCTAAGACATTTTCAGAAGAAAATATTTTATGACTTCTATGGCTTCTGCAATTATTTTTAGGACTATATTAATGTCTAGGATAACTGTCCACAAGAAATACAGCCCCCTCCCCAAAACAAAAAATACAGAACAAACTTAAACTCCTGTATCTTCAAGCAATTTAATAAAAACATTATCCAAAACCAAGCTGAAGTTCCATATTTATATACAATTATTTCAGTGGCATTTAACATACTGAATAGGACTGTTTCATTTCACAGTGCAGACAGCGGCATTCTCAAAGCACTAAATATAGGTCAGCAACACATACAATATGTATATGCTACAATATAGCATACCAGTAATTGTTAGGTAGAGTCAGCAGTTTAAAGGCAGGAGGAACTGGTATTCAGAAGTGTTTAAATTCAGTTCCAAATTTTTATGTTCCAAACCATGAAGGAAAAAAAAAAAGTGATTTTATAATTTTATTTTTTTTAACTAATTATGGTGTCATACATTAATTTAATGAATTCTGATAGAAAGACAGCAAGAAAACTCTCCAGGATGATAAGGTGGTGACACCAGGAAGAGAATATGAGGAAGAACAACTGCTAGCAAAATAAAGCATGTAACTAGGCTGTTACAAAAAGACAGCAGTTACCTACAATCTGTGGGAGAAATGCAAAGTCTTGCAGTCATATTTATTTCTTCTTTTCTTTTTTCACAGACGTTAAGAGTTAGACACAAGCACAATGTAATTTGCTGAATCAACTCAACTATGACAAGAGCACAAGCTGTAATAGCGCTGATTCAGAACTCAACATGCAAACGTTAATAATGACAGGGAAGAATTAAGCATAATCAGAGACCAGACAATTCAAAGTTTTAAAGCAGAGGTGTCCTCAGAAATGAGCCATACTTTAGTTACTTGGAGAGAAGAAAAAAAGAAAAAAAGGGAAAAATTCTAATAATTGCATCTCACCAAGTCTAGATGATTCATAGTGGTGAAAAAAGAATAAATAGCATTTTCACTTTCCTCTGAAAATCATTAGCCTCCAGAATAACCTTTCAATTCATCTTTAAAAGAATCATATCCAGTTATACACACAGGTACAAGAAAGCTACAGAATATATATCCAATGGAAACTTAAGTGAAGGACATGAAAAAATTGTTTTCTTCTTATTCACCTGTACATTTACAAAAGCCAGAACAGAAATAATTGCAAATGTTTAAACTACAAACAGAGCCTACTAAGAATTAGAACTAATCTACTACAGCTTTGACATTTGGTTTGGAGACAAAGGTAATGTTGTACAAGGATAACGTTTTACAAATAGAAGTTTAAACCCATCTCAAACCTCTCTAACGTTACTGCATTTATCTTGATATTTTGCTTAAAAGGCACAACATTAATACAAAAAGAAAAACGTTAACATAAAAACCATATGGTGAAGTATGCTGACATGACATGAATATGTTTAACTAGTGTTGAATAGTATTAATTATTTTCCTTTAATATGAAGTGGAATGGATAAGAATAAGCTTATAAACCAGTAACATCACCTACCATGGGAAAAGTAACATTTAAGGATCATTTCTTTCAGGCAGCAATTTAGAAAAACATAGTATAGAAACTTAAAGTTGAACTTGAAAACCATCACAGGAACTTGCAGGTGAAGCACCTAAGCGCACCCAAAGAAGAAGTGCTACCCAGGTCCTACAGAAAATCCCTTTCTGTATTTTTTAGGCATCTTGGAAAAAGACAGCCTTTCTTGCTATCATATGAAATCTGCAAGATGTCTTTATTGTTTCACCACGGACTTTAACTTTCTGAAAATATGGCAAAACAGGGCTTTTTTAAAACCTCTACCAGAGAAATTCCTCAGGTTTCCTGATTTTCCCCCGTGAGCCGCCAGGCCTCGACAACCCCCTGTGCTCACACAGGGCTCCCCACACCTGCGAGCCACCCCCACGGCTCAGCTGAGATGCACAGCGATCCCCTCCCCTAGCCCCTTACTGTTTTCACCGGGCTGCTGCAAAGAAGGGACCCAAAAATATAAAAATGAGAAAGCTTCTAAGAAAAGTTGCGAGGCTCCACGCGATGAACTCCCGCACGGGGCGATTCCCGCTGGACAGTGCGGCCAGAGCTCCCCCGGCAGGGACAGAGAATCCTGCCCCGGCCGGGCACCAAGGGCCAGGGGGCTCCGCCGAGA